CACCCCCAGCACAGCCCCCCAGTCCCCATCTCCCAGCACAGCCGCCCAGTCCCCATCCCCCGGCACAGCTCCTTAGCACGGCCCGCCCAATGGCACACTTGTTCCCACACACAGCTCTAACTGCTGTTCTTCAGCTGACCCCTCCTAACGGGAAGGCCTAATTACTACAACGCCTTGTCCTGGCGACACGCAGCTGTGACACTTTCTCGGATGGACTGGAGCCACCTCCCGGGTCTCCCACCCTGTGTCCTGGTGGCCCAGGTACTCACGTCGCTGAGCAAGTCCCGAGAGCTGCTGCGCCTGGAGCTGGTGGCCTCGCATACGCTGTCCTCGTCACTGTTCCTGTCACCCCCTCTGGGCACCGTGACCTTCATCTGGGGAAACAAGGACAGGCGCGCTCACTTGTACCTCAGCCCACTGCAGGCAGTGCAGGCACCCTGGGAGGGGCCAGGGTGGCCCACTGCCTTTCTGGCTCCTCATTCACCCCTGCATCCTACTCTGAGGGGGAATGTCAGCACACCCCACACCCCAGCCCGGTCATCACACCCCATACCCCAGCCCCAGGGTCACCACGTCCCATACCCCAGCCCCAGGGTCACCACGTCCCACACCCCAGCCTGCGGGTCACCATACCTCCCACCCCAAGGGGGGGTCACCTCACCTCACACCCCAGCCCGGCGGTCACCACACCCCAGAACCAAGCCCCAGGGGTCACTGTACCCCACAGCCCAGCCCCAGGGGTCACCACACCTCACACCCCAGCCCTGGGGGTCACCACACCACACACCTCACACTCCACCACACCCCTGCCAGGCCATCCACCAAACAGCCTAGCATGTTGGTCCTGAGATGTGACTTGCTGCTGTGGGCAGGGCCATGGGCGGGAACCCTGGGAACACCCCACCCTGCCCCAGGGGTGCTCTGGTTCCCCCCAGGGCCTGGGCAGGGCAGCACGAGGAAGGATGACGGTGGTGAGCAGAGGGCCAAGCCCGCACTTGTGTCCAGAGTCGGACCTAAAGACCCAGGAAAGCAAACAGCACAACAGATGGCTGACATGCTGCAGCTCTGCCCAGGGCCGGCCCTCGGGTGTGACTGGTGCGGAATGCTCCTTGGGGAGAGCTTGGGGAGAGCTTGGGGAGAGCGGGCCATCAACATCAACATCAAGGGCACACGGCCTCCAGGCCTCTTTCCGACCACACAGCCCGAGGCCACAGTGGCCGGGGCTGCCTGCTTCCTCCACACACGGGGCAACAGGTCTCCACGAGCCCCCCTCAGGGGGTGCCCCAGGACCTCGCTCCGTCTCACCACAGTCCCAGGGCAGTAAGGGGGGCAGGGGCACAGCCCGGGGTGACCGCAGTGTCACTCAGCCTCTGCCTGTTCGTCATCTGCAAGCTGGCCCTGCTGTGGCTGCACCTCCTCGCGATAACACCAAGACGGGTGAATGTGGGCATGGGCTGCTGGGTGCCAGGCCTTGGCCTCAGAGCTTCAAGTACGCCAACTAGTTTAACGTCTACAACCCTGCGTGGATACACTTTTTGCACTCGTTTACAGATGAGGAAACCGAGGCCCAGAGGCTGGGATTGGGACTGGGCAGCTGGACGCAGGGGCTGCCCATGTCACGCTAACTTTTCATCTGAATACAGTTTCAAACCAACACAGGTGAGGGCGAGCCGCTCACACCCCAGCCCTTCACCCCTAAACCATGTAAGAACAGGGAGGCCCTCCACAGAGCGCAGGCCACCATCGACCTCACAGACCTGCTCTGGGAACAGCCCTGGCCTGGCTCCCAGCCTCCTCTGGTAGGAGCAGACACTCCTGAGGGGAACCCTGGCCCCGCCTCTTTGGATAGACATCCCTCAGGTGTGAGGATGTGGTGCTCAGCACACGTGTCAGGAGGCGGAGCCCTCTGGGGTGTCCATGGGCCCTGCAGCCCCCCACCTAGGGCTGACACCCCTACTCTCCCCCGCCTGGGGCCAACACCCCCAACCCTCTCCCGCTTGGCTCCGGGGTATACCCTCACCTCTTTCGGGGCTTTGCTCAAATGCCGCCTCCCAGGGACGCCTCCCCGACTTTCCCATAAGAACCACACCTGTCCCTCCTGGCGTCCCGATGCCCCCTTCACTTTTCTCCACAGGACTGACAACAGTGAACACAGCATGTCTTTTATTATGGGTTGTTTCCCATCCGCAGCCCACCCGGCCAGCACTGTGAAGGCAGGGAAGTGGCCTCTGCAACACTGACTAGCTCCAGGGCCGGGCACAGAGTGGGGTGCTCAAAGGTGCTGAGTAGACTTTCACCTACAGCCCAAGCCTGGTAGGGACAAAACACGTACTCCATCTGTGTTCAGCCCAGGAGCAGCTGTCTGGGGACCAGGGTCCAGTCTTCAGAGAAGGGGAGACCATACCTGGGAGCCCCAGGGACAGAGCCAGAGCCATGGGAGAGTTGCAGAGGGCACCATCAGCTCCAGAGAAGGGGAAACCTTCATGTAAGTGGGTGTACTTGTGCAGAGCAGGGACTGGCGGGGCACTGCAGGGGGCAACCCAGCAGCCTCCCACTCCGACAAGGGCCCCTGTATGGCATCTGGGGCACCTGTCTACCCATACTCAGCACTGCAGCATTTAGAATGAAGAGAACCGGGTTACCTTTAAGCACCCATAGGCTAGCCTAAGGTGTTTTAAAGCTGGACCTCACTCTATGCTGATGGTTGCACCTACTGGTGAAAGCTGGTACTACAGTCCAGCTCTATTAGACACTGTATGTTTCCTATGGGAAAGAAAAGCTCTCAGAGTTGTGAATGGGACTCAGAGGCTTCAAAGTGAGGGAAATTGAACTGGCAATGAGACTCTGGTGTTGGCAAAGCCTCAACACCCCTCTCCTGCAGGCTGGCTGACTCCTACTTGCGTTAGCTGGGGCCCTGCTTCTCTCAGAAATCCTTCCTGATAACTCCAGCCATTCCTTATGCCAGCCAGGCTGGACGAAGGACCCGCTCAGGCTCCTCAGCCCCTGAGTGTCTCTGTGAAAGTGAAGTGGGGTTGTTTGTTTGCTTATCTCCCTACATTAAACTGGGAGCTTCCAATGGGCATCGCTGTCTTTTATTCCCACCTTCCCGGTATCACCCAGCCCAGGCATAGGCAGGGTTTGGGGGAAGAGCAAGTGTTCCTAGCTGGCAGTGTCGGGGAAGTGAGCTGCTGTCCTGCTGAGGGCTGCCACCCCTTAAGCCACTCTCCATTCTTCTGTTGGGAGATCTGGATGGATGTGTGGGAGGAAGGGCGGGGTGGGTAGGTGGAAGGAAGGAAGGAGGCAGGCAGGGAGGGAAGGCAGGCAGGGAGGGAGGAAGGAAGGAAGGAAAGAAGGTGGGAGGGAGGAAGGGAGGAAGGAAGGAGGGAGAGAGAGAGGGAGGGAGGGAGGAGGGAAGGAGGAAGGAGGGTGGATGGAAGGGAGGAAGGGAGGAAAGAAGAGCTGGTGGTGGGTGGACAGGTGGACAGGGACAGATGTGCAACAGATTACGTAAGGGATGCTGGCTGAACTGAGGTCAGGACACTAGGTGTCATACCACCGCGTGAGTGTGTGGCAAGCCCCTGCCTGTGCCCGTGTGTGTGGTCCCCTGCTGCGCAGAGGGCAGGAGCAGCAGCCCGGTCCTGCTCTCAGAGGGAACAGGGAGGACTCCAGGGGGTGTGTGGTACTAGAAAAGGGACCAGACATGGGACTCTGTGCTCCGCTGTAGCCCCACCCCCTTCTGGCCACCAGCAGTGCTTTCCCTGGGGCTCCAATGTCTCCTCCGCAGAGGCCCTCCGGACCTCTCGACCTCAAGGGGATACCCCCCAGGTGCAACGTGCTTTGCACTCAAAACCGTCCGACTGGTTTGTCTTCCCAGTCAGGATTTGAGCTCGCAGAGGCTGGGATTTCCATCTGACTTGTTCACTGCTGGGTCCTCAGGGCGCAGTACAGGGGCTGATACACAGGAGAAACTTTAAAGTACAAGCTGACTGACAGAGCCCTCCCTACCCACGTGAGGGCTGAGAGGGGACACGAGCTGTGTGGGGGTTAGCACCGCCCGCCACCCAGCCCACCTGTCACCTGGCCCACCAGCTCACCCGACCCACCCCGTCATTGCCCAGCCCACCAGCTCACCCGGCCTACCCCATAGTCGCCTGGTCCGTGGGTGAGTCGGGGGAGGAGGGCACAGTGCCTGACACGAGGCAGGCATCCAGGGTGAGGTGATTCTCTTTCCTCCTCCCCCCGCAAACAGTGCCCAGCCAGCAGGTGCCCCAGGCCCACCCAGGCTGTCCCCTCCGCAAAACACTCCTGATTCACCTGAGAGCCATAGTGGGGACATGGGGGCTTGCAGTCCGTGGGCTCCAGGTCAGAGCCTCTGAGTCTTGCAGTGACTGGGATCCTGCCCATCGGTCCCCTAATGCTGGCACCCCGTGTTTGGGATGTGGGCGGGCTAGGAGGTCCAAGGTGAGACCCACAGCCAGGGCCTTGAGGTGGCAGGCCTGGCAGGTGGCAGACACTGTCCTGTCAGTCAGTAAAAGTGACCACAGTGACAGTTAGCACTCACATGGTGCTCAGCAACTGTCCCAGCAACCCCACAGGTGTGCACTGTGACTAACATCCCCATCCACAGATGAGGAAGCCTGGGATCTCATGCTACATGGGGTGCACCAGAGGGCCCTGCCCACAGCGGGTGGGCCATGGCGGGCTAGTTGGGGGCTGTAGCCACTATAGAGGCGCCTCCGACAAGGTGTGAAGGTCAGGACCTTGATCACATCCCTGCCCCATCAAGCAAACCCCTGCGTGTGGGAACCTCCCCTAACAGCAGCAGCCACACATTGACCTCCAAAGAAAGGGGCTCTCTGTCAGAAAGGTCAGCCACTGAAAACCCCATGGAGCACAGCTCTACTCTGATGCACATGGGGTCACCGAGAGTTGGCGTCGACTCCATGGCACCTACGGGCCCAGTATGGTCCTGAGAGCTCCCCCTTACGTTAACTCACTTATCCTGACAACCCCGAGGGCGAGGGAGGGATGTCATCATCCATGCTACAGAGGAGAAAACCGAGGTGCTGAGTAGTTGAGTAACGAGCCCAGGGTCACACAGCTGGGGTGCAGAACTAGGACAGGCCCCAGGCAGTCTGCTCTCCGCTACCATGCTCATTTTCAGGATTGGAGTAGGACTCTTTGGAAGGACCTACCCAGCCCCTTGCTACACACACACAATAACACAACAGAACAGACAGGGTGAGAAATGTGGAGGCACACCCACAGTCTGCTCTTCACTCTCGAGCTCATGGAGGCTCTGGGCCCAGCCCTCTGCCAGGCCCTGGGGTTACAAGTCCAGTGAGGAATGCATATGAGTCAACAGCCACCACCA